ACCCTGTGCCTAAATTATATACAGTGCTTTTCTTTAATGTTCCCCTCCCCTTTGATTTTTAGAACGGATCGATTCAAAAAATTTAAACTTGAGGCAATGAGATTGATGTGTGCATACTATATTTTAGAGTAAAATTGACAGATGAGAATGTCAAGATAGCCGCTGGGCTATATAGCAGGTCTTATAGCACATCATTTTGAAGCTCCTGATGAGTACTTTATAACCCTAGAATACAAAGTCAATGCCTTAACCTACTACAAAATAGTGGTACATTTAATAATTACCATAATTCGAATAAATACGTTGCCTTGAACTTCTTCACGCAATAACCGTCGTGTCGAACATTTTCAAACATAGTAACATCGATATTTCTACAAATATATGTTATTCTCAGTCGTATATCCAATATTGAAGCAGGTTCAGTTTCGTACACCTTTTGCTTCAAATAGCCCAAAAAAACAAGTCTAAAGGTATCAAATCTGGCGAGCGAGCTGGCCATTCCACAGGACCTTGACGGCCAATCCAACTACCGGGGAAATTGTTACCTAAATGATTCCTAACTTTTCTGTAGTAGTGTGGTGGAGCACCATCTTGATGGAATACAATATTAGTATCGAATTCATTAGGATTCGCTTCGATGATTTCGGTGACTAGAGGGTCAATAGTATTTTCCAGCTTATCCAAATACAGTTCCCCGGTTAAAGTTTGTTCTATGAATAGAGGCCCCACAATATGATTTTTTGTGGATATTGAGTAGGAGTTTCCCGCAAGGCGTGAGGATTGGTGTCGCCCCAATAACGACAATTTTGTCTATTCACATTACCGTTGAGAAAAAATGTACATTCATCACTAAAACAAATATTTTGGATATAGGTAGGATACCGTGCAATGGTTTCCGTCATAGTCTCGCAGAATTCTGTTCTTCGATCAGGGTCATCTTCATTAGCTGATGTACCATTTGAATTTTGTATGGGTGATACTTTTCTTTCTCAAAACTCTCCATACAGTAGAAGGACAGACCTCACATACATTCGCGATGGAGGAGGTAGACTATTGGGATTTACTATGATCTCACCAATTATTTGAACTTGCTTTTCTTCCGGGATGGTCGGATGACCTGGGGGCCTTTTGTTGTTTAGCTGTAGATTTAGATACGAGTTCCCTTAAATATTATCTACAGATAGGACGATTCGGGAAACGATTATTAAAAATCCGTTCGGTCTCGTGAAAGTTACGCGTCGCACCATAAATAAAAATCGCTTCGATGTTTTCTTCCAATGAACGAGAATTGACCATTTTAAAAGTAGTGCAAACAGTATCTAGCACTAAGACCGAAAACTAAATAAGAATATTTTAACTGATATTCTTGTCACTGTCAACAAAAAATAGCAAAACGAGTTTTTAGCGCTGTTGCTATGAATTCGGCAGGGAATTAAAATTATTTGTAGAGATATGTAAGTATGTTAGTGGGTTTGTGTTCAAGTAATTATTAAATGTATCACCATTTTGTAGTAGGTAAAGGTATTGACTTAATATTCTAGGGTTATAAAGTACTCGTCAGGAGCTTCAAAACGATGTGCCACAAGACCCCCGTTTTCAAATAATTTTTTTCCAAGATGGCGCCCAGCGGCCATCTTGACATTTCCATCTGTCAATTTTACTCTAAAATATGGTATCAACGCATCAATTTCCTTACCTCAAGTTTTAATTTTTTGAATTGATCGGTTCAAAAAACCAAATGGGAGGGGCACATTAAAGAAAAGCACTGTATATCGTGCTGGTCTTTCGCATTGTGGGCCGCTCCGTTATATTTGTTTTGTACGAAGGTTCTGTGTGCCTTGATCTTCTGCCGACGAGCAGTGTCGCACGATTTGTTGAACCAGCCGTTGGTGGTGGTGGTATTCCTCTATCCCAATGTGGATAATTTCGGTTACATATAAGGAAAGGTAGAGAAGAAGCCAATGAGCCCCTCCCACCTCCCAGTCGGCATGTCCGCAAATTTTACGGCTTGAGCGAGTTTCTGCTGCCACAGCGGGTTCTGATCGAAACCTAACCGTCACAGCAACGTGGTCTGAGTTACACTGAGTGACAGGACATCAGTGCTGTAAGGGACAGGATGCGAGGTCAAGAAGAGATCCAGTAGGCTACTGGCATGTGACGAAACGCGGGGGAAAAAGTTGAGCTCATCGGTTTTTGGGTAATAGCGAACGCTTCAACTGCACGACCTGCTGCACCGGTCTTATCTGATCATGAACATTGAAGTCACCGAGGAGAACTACTTGATGTTCGGGTCGATCTTGACAGCGATTTATTTAAGCAGGTCACCCAGACAGTTTTGTATCCGCCAAGATAAGCATGCAATCTTGTGTATTAAGTGGTTAAAAAATGCTTGACATCGAGTAAACGAATAAAAAATCAACTTATGGTACTTTTCGAAACAAAACACATGATTTTGGAATCGCACGGAATCAAAACGTAGGCCGAAAGAACGAGTGAGTCTGATCCCGCTTCTGATGTTATAAGCCGTTAAAATGCGTGAATTAATGGAATTATAAAGAATTGTAATAGTTAAAAAGCTCCGGCGGGTCAAACCATGGGTACCGCCTGGTTGCTCGTTGCCGAGATGCCTACTATGCTGTGCTCCCCGTCGACGCCCCGAAAGGGACTCTCCTCCTCTCTTTACTTGCTTATCCTTTATAAATAAACAAAACACAAACCAGATGTAAATAACTACAGGGCGTAATTCAATTGATGGCTAAAAATGCAGGATATGTTTCCTCAGCTCATTTTAGGAAGAAAAGATTATATGGACATAAGTCCTGAACCACTTAACATTTGAACTACAGAGAGTTGAAACTGTAAGAAAAAAATCGTTTTATCATAACTTTAATACTGTTCTACAAATTTTGACATGCATCTACGTACTAAGCACCAATAGACATGTTTTGATGTAGATTATTTTTTAATATTTTTACCAAAGGCGTCCGTACAGGAGATTTAAAAAAAATATAGTGCGCCATTGCTTTTTTCAAAAACATACTTTTGAAATCGTGATTTATTTTGCAATAAACTTGATCTCTTGATTTTTCCCGTCCAATGCACCGTTTTCGCGTGAAAAAATAATAAATAATTTTCATGCATTTGTGGTATAACGAAAGTATTTTGAATTTGTAGGCTGGTGCCCTATTTTATTTTTAAAATAATGACATCTGATCGATTACGTTGTGGTCTTATTTTGACAAGTATTCATAAACGTGATAGTTTTTTACATTGTGAAAGTTCTTTTAATCAATGATAAAGAGAATTTAAGCAAACTGTGCCAAGATTTACAAATTCCGAGTTAGCAGATAAAAATAAGCATTTTACCTACGGACTTGCTGACGGAAATGTGCTTAATTGGCTAGGCGGATATATCAAGAGCGGTATTCAAATCATATCATTCCCGATGCCAGAATGTTTTTTAGAATACACAAAAGACTACATGAGTCTGGCAGTTTTAGAGGCACATCGCACGGTGAGAGCACCAGAATTAGAGAACGCTGTTTTAAACACAATTGAGGAACATCTAGATGCAAGTACTAGTAAACTTTCGGTTATGCTTAATGTTTTCCATTTTCCATTTGGAAAATACTTGTTGATAATTTGCTACTACTATCATATTTAAAGGGTTCAAGTACCACTACCTCGTGATTTTCCATTGCGTTTAAATTTCTGCCCATGGTTTTTAGAAAAACTTGCAAAAAACTACTTTTTCCCGCAATTCTATTCGAAATTTCGGGTGTGGGCTTTAATAGTTGGAGATTTCCTCATAGGACCGTTCTTCATTCCATGAGGACTGGATGGACTATCTTATCGTCACTTCTTGAAAACGATTTGCCAATTTTGCTCGAGGATGTGCTTCTTTTATTAAGAGAAGAAATGTAGTACATGCATGATGGTGCTCCTACACATCTTAGCATGCATGCTAGGGAATTTCTGAAGGAAGTGTTTACGAATCGCTGGATAGAACGTGGGGAAACTCAATCTTGGTCTCCCAGGTCCCCCGATTTAAATAGCTCAGACTATGTTTTGTGGGGGCACCTCAAGACGTTAGTCACTAGTTCAAACTGTAGAGGAACTAAGGCAGAAAGTTTTACTTTCTTGCAAAGCCATAAGGAATACTCCTATAATTTTTGAAAGGGTTCGTCAATCCTAGAGAAAGAGAATTGAAGCCTGTATTTTAGCAGAAGAAGGACATTTCCAACAATTAGTGTGATAACTAAATTAAATAGTATTAGTTTATTTGATCCACAAAAATTGTCAGAACTTGTTGCAAACTTGTTTTTTAAATTTTCATGCATTGCAAAATCGTTAAAATCTAGTGTGGTAGTTTGTAGGTAAGATGTGTTTTCGTTTCGGGAAAAGTCAAGAGGTCAAATTTGTTGCAAAATAAATGGATTTCAAAAATGATTTTTATTTTCGGAAAAGCAATGGCAGACCATATTTTTTGAAAAATCTTCAGTATACATTCCTTTACGGGCGACACTGGTAGAAATATTAAAAAATATTCTACATCAAAAAATGCCTACTGGTGCTTAGTAGGTGCATGTCAAATTTCATGAAAATATCTAGAACAGTATTGAAGTTATGATAAGGAAACGATTTTTTTCTTAACATTTTAACACCCTGTAACTCAAAATTTAAGAGGTTTTCTTCCTAAAATTATCTAATGAATCATATCTTGTATTTTTTAGCCATCCAGTTAATTACACCCTGTATAAATGTGTGATCATAAATACATTGTTGCTCTTGAAGAATCAAGAATTAACGTTTCAAATAATTTGATTTTCAAGTCGAATAGTTTCTAAAAATATCAAGCTACTTGACTTGATGAATCCCTACTGTGTTGATTGGTTAATCCAGCTACATTCGAAATCGATAGCAGAATATGCACTTTTTACACTTTTCATAGCTGTTAGTTTGATCAATCCGAGAGAATACAGCTAATACTAACCCTTCAGTTGGTCTATGACGTATACTCCCGGAGCCAAGTGAAGCATCCCCTGTAATCAACGTGGCGTTGTATGTACTAGAAAAACTGAAGAGCGCCTTTGGTGTCTTGGCCGCGAAGATGTCCCTATACAAGTCCTCGCCTAATGGCGTTCAGGTCACTTTGTCGGATGCCCAGCAATGGAACGCCCTTGACACGGCTGTTAAATTCGCAGGAGAGGATGCCAAGGATCGGTTAGTAGAATATTTTGTAGGAGGTAGTTCCGTTTTGTACATCAATAAAAAATGGGCAATCTATATGGTTTCTGGTAGCTGAACCAATAGCAATAAAATGATTCGTTTGAAAGGTCTTTTCATGTATAGGGTGCGACAGCATTAATTCGTTTTTTCAAAACAATAACAATAACACTGATATTTATTTGCAAATACAATTGCTAAACAAAAGCTGTAAGCCACTTGTGATACAAATAGTGTCAACAAAACAAGAGTAACGATAAGATCTTGGTCTAAACCACATTATTTGAGTCTGTCTTGAAAAAGTCATCGACTGTATATGGTTTTAGATTAAGTAATATAATATTCTTTATTGCCAGCAAAGTTTACAAGAAAAACATAACCAACATAAAAGAAAAGCAAAAATGTAGTACAATAACATAATGGGAAATATAAATAACATTTAGGTACCATAAGTAGGTATAACTTAAAAAATGTCACAAATGCATATGCAATGTAAAATGATATGTTACAAATAAGTTATCATAAATTATGGGGTTACCGGCCAAAATTAAATTTTGTTGTACCTACATGTATAGTATGTATACAATATTAAACCTGTTAAAATGACAAACATAAGTCCAGTATGTTAAAATTAACTTAAAATGTTATTAGAATAAAATGATTTGCTCACATGTTAAACATGAACCTGATTTTTGGAAGCAAATTGTGATGACCGACGAGGCCTATTTCACGCTCTCTGGCGCGTTAATAAGCAAAACTGCCGGAAAATCCACAAGAGATCCACGAAATGCCGTTGCATGATCGGAAAGTGACTGTTTGGGCCGGCGTTTGCGCCAAAACCACCATTGGACCGTTCGTCTTCAACGAAAACGAAACAGTTGATGGAAATCGATATCGGTGGATGTTGGCTCATTATGTCTGCACACAAATGCATAAAAAAGGTCTTGATGGTTAGTGGTTTCAACAAGACGGTGCGCAATGCCACATTGCAAATAAAACAATCCAGTTTCTGCAACGAAACTTCTGATGTCAAAAAGAGGTGACACTGACTGGCCACCCAGGTCTGCAGATTTGACCCCACCGGACTTCTTCTTGTGGGGTTATTTGAAAAGTCAAGTGTACGCCAACAAGCCCCAGACCACTGAAGAACTCAAGGCAAACATCCGTACCGCAATCGCCGCTACACCACCAGAGATGCTCGAAAAAGTAATGGAAAACGCAGCAAAACGGGCACATTTTGTTTTGGCCAATAAAGGTGGCCACTTGATAGATGTTGTGCTCAAAAACTAGTCCCAATAAATTGCAAAGGAACATTTAATAAAAATATCCCATATATAGAAATCAGTTTTTCGTTATTTCTTGTTTACATACCGACATAAGAGATAGCGCACCCGGTACATATGTTTTTTAACAAATAAAACAGGAATGCAACTATCAAGAATCCCAATATTGAAAAATGTTCCCGTCATGATGTTCGAGGATGAAGTCTCAAAATGCAAATCAGGATAGGGTTTTGCACTATAAAGAATGCCATGGCACCCCACGAAGAGCCCCAGAACATTATACTATGAGTTAAAAATGGCTGTACAGATGCATAATAAAATTGCCGAAAAGTGTTCAATGAAACCCCATTTCGTGGCCGCCGCACAAACGCACAGAACCTAAGGCGCAGAAACTTTATATCGGTAATCTCTGGTATTGATCCGCTATTACAACGAACCAACAGCGACTCACCCCTGGCAGATGATTTACTGAACGTAACAAGTCCACTTTGATCAGCATTCAATGTTAATGCATAATCCTAGCACCAATCCTGCATGGTCCCCACAAGAACAGACCCGAGACACAGACAGCACAATAGTAGTGTCATTCGCATACTGGCAAAACAGACCTTCTACAAATGCGTCACAAAGGCCATTCACATAGAGCGGGAACAACAACGGTCCCAGAATTGACCCCTGCGGCACCCACTGTTTAATCAAGGTTATCCATTCCGGGTTATACAGACAAGCTGCTCCCTACTGTGAAGATATGACTCTATAAGCTGTCCACATTTACCTCGTATTCCATGTTTAGAAAGAATTTTAAGGACTATTCGATGGTCTATCGTGTCGGAGGCATTAGACAGATCAAAAAAAGACCGGCCACTTTTTCATTCTAGTTCATATTTTCAACTATAAAAGTAAAAATCTCAAATAGTACGAGTTGTTTGGAATGATTTGGGCCAAAGCCAAATTGATTTCTTGTCAAAATGTTGTATTTCTTGACAAAGTGCATTATCCTTGAATATATGACCTTTTCGAAGACCTTTGACACAGAAGAAAACAGTGAGACTGTTCGATAATTAGCAATGTCATGCACATTTCAATTTTTGTAAATGGGAACCAATTTGGCCCTCTGTAAATGTGACGGAAAAATTCCTGAAAACAGACATTCATTAATAACATTAGCTAACGGTTCGCATATATATAGTCAAAATCACGAAAGATGACTATTACGTCATACCATAAGTTGTATTGAAGTAATCAATGGACATACGTCGATCATAAAATCACGAGTCAAAAACATAATGACAACAAATTTATATTATGATTTTTCTAAGTTAGGTTATTTCACTGATTATTTTTATTTTCATTTTATTTCATGGTTTTGAGTGATACCTTAATAATAATTTTAGTGGGGAGTTTTTGTTTTGAAAAAAAACAGTTATGAGTAGAATACCTTAAGACCGGAACACCAAAGACCAAAGTATTAGTCGAAAACAACATAATCTGCTTTAACATAACCTAACTATTCATCTTTCAAATATGATCGATCATGCAACATGAAAACATCTTTGCCGGATACATGCAAATTAGCAAGACAGTTTGTTTAGACAATAAAATTCTGTTTGTCTCTGTCTAACATATCAGAAACTGCATTAAATATATTCACAAATCGCTGTCGTTTGTCTGTACTACAGACTAAAATGATGACGTAATCGTCATCTTTCGTGATTTCGACTAGGTATAGTGAGATTTCTGCTTCATAACTACCACCAGGATTCCATCCAACCCAGCTGAGAATTTGTTTGGCGAACTGGCCAAAGTTTGATTAATTTCTCCTTTGTCGACAGGGAGCAAACCTTTCCTGAAAGACATCAGTTTGTTGGGAATCTTTTATTATTACACCATTATTAAGTTTTAGCTCAATAGAACGCTTTGGTCTTTTATTAGTTTCTGCATTTAGAATACTCCAGGCAGTCTCTGTCATTTTTTTTTAATTTAATATTCTATTTTTATTTATAGCTATTGTGTAGTTCGACAGACATTTCCTATACTCTTGTCGTTCAATTTCATACTGATGATATACTCTAGGGCTATGTGTACTCGTAATCTTAGACCAAACATACAAATATTTTTTATAAGTAGTATATGCTTTTATTTCATTATTTACCCAGTTTTGTTCTTTGAATTTTAATCGATAAATAGTAAAATAGTATGTTAAAAAAGGTTTGATATTTCTCCGCAACCCCAACTGACCTATATACATCATTGGCGGACTCGGAGCTCAGCAGATCCTTGAAGCGCTGGATGTTAGAAGACGCGAAAAAACGTTTCCTTGCATAATTGATGTTAGAATCATTGCTATTTTGTAAAGCTAAGTTTCTGACCATAGTGGTCTGATATATTTATTTTTATAATGCTACATTGTGTATCAGGTATATTGCTAAAAATATTATCAAGCTGAGTGCACCCACTGTGACATATCCTATCCTATCATGAGCTGTGTCGCAGAAAAAGTTCCATCATACTGAACTGAGAAATCTAGATTAAAATCCTCGCAAACAAACAGTTTAAAACTTCATCAAGAGTAGACAGAAACAGATCTTAATTCCCTGTAAGTAACCTATATACACAAATCGCAATATAATGTTTCTTATTTAGTATAAATTGGGGAATGCAATACTCACAATGTTTTTCAATACACTCAGTGTCAGCCCCTAAACTTTCAACAGTAAGTTATGAATTTACGTTCGTGATGAATGGCTGATGGGCATATATTGTCTAAGACTACAGATTTTATACCATTTCGCAGCGGCTAATGCTCTGAGACACAAAAAATGTCTGTTTTCTTTTCTGCAGGCAGAAATTTTATTTCCAAAATTTTGTTATTTTTACTTTGTACATTTAAGTGCAGAACAGACATACAATGACTCCCTGAGCCCTGGCTGCCAGAATCAGTTTCCCATGTGGATGGTATTTAATGGTCGCAGGGTAGAGCATTAGTTACCCTGCATGACTTTTGTCTAAAGAATGTCTACAAAACCCAAAGTTAAACCTTTCAAATACAGCACGCTTGGGCCAAAAAGCGGTATTATACAGGGTGTTTGTAAGGTCAATACAAAGTTTTGGGGAGGTGATAAGGCAGACTATTTAGAGTCTTTTAAGCCAAAAATACCTTAGTTCAAAGTGACGGTTTTTGAGTTATTCGAGATTTTCGATTTTTATTGAAAAAAATATGCCTTTTGTTCCTGTTATCCTTGAAAGAACATCAGGCTATATGAAATAGTTTTCAAATACCTGACAGTGTGATTCTTTTCTCCGAAGGTAGAGAAAAGAAAACAAATTGACTGTAAATAAATACATGTTTTTCTATTTTTGTGATACTGATAAGAAGGAACTTATTTGCGTGCATGATAGAACTAAATTCTACACATTCTTGCTTTATTCCTTTCCAAACAAGTCAATAGTAAATTCATGAATTTCAGTCCAAAAACCCTGAATTAATTAGTTGGTAAAATACATATAGCCGCTTTCACTAACGAAGAATACGCAGATATCGTTTACATGTATGGCAGAGCAGATGGCAATGGACGGTTGTACCAAGAGAGATTTCCTGGGAGAAATAAGATTGCCTAGTATCAGAGTGTTTTACAATACTTACCGACGTCTTTACGAGACTGGAAGTGTAACACATAATGAACCTGGTGTTAATCCAGATCGATATCCGAAGAT